GGCGGGGCGGGCGGCAGAGCTCGGCGGCTCCAGCCCGGCCGCTCCCCCGCGCCCGGCGGGTCCTTCCGTCAGGCAACGAAATCCCCGCTGCTCGGCGGGTCTGGTTTAAAATTCAGCCGTGAGGAGGAGGCAGGTTTTCGCAGCGCTCCCTGCGAGCTGGCTGGCGGCGAGTAGAGGGCGAGGGGCTGCGGATTTGTAGCTGCAATTCGTTCGCGCGGGCTCTGCCCGCTCCGCAAAATCACACGAGCATCTACAGCTTCCTAGTGCTGTTCCCTCACCCGTTGGGGCAAAAGGCTCCGATTTTTTGCGCTGAGAGCGAGCGCCAGACCTGACACCCGCCTGAATCATAAATCTGCCTTCCCGGTGGGAGATGCTGAAGGGGAACGCGGGTTGCGGAAAACCGACTGCCCAGTGCCTGAAAACAAATTGCGAACCAAGCCCCGCCGCTTCCCACAGAGACGTCCCCGATAAGGTGAAACGTGTCGCCCCCGTGATAACGATGCTGCCCGAGGAGCGGAGAGGGGGAAGGCGGCTGTTGGCCTCCGCTGAGGCACAAGCCCGATTGTTTGAACGGCGAGACGGCCAGCGCGGGGGTAGCGGGGCTAGTGTCACCCGCCCCGTCTCAGCGGCCCGGCGGATCGCCGCCCTCGCTCCCCGCTGGGTGCCGGGGCTGGGACCGGCTCTCCCCCACCCCGTTTTCCCTTTCGTCCCCGTCCCCATCCCTCGCTCCCCGCCGCGCATACTCCCCTCCGTGCCCGAGCGGCTGTGCGCCCGGGAGGACGGTGCCACCTCTGCAGAAGGTCTTTTTTGGGGGGGGGAGGGGGGGGAGAGTCGGGACCTTCACTGCGGCCACCGCGGGGTGATGCGGGAGCTCCCCTCGCTCCGAGCGGCACGGGGGCACGGGGAGGGCCGTAGCCCCTCCGGCTGCGGGGAGGGGGGGCCGGGGAGGGGGGCACACACCAGAGTCACAGGTGACTTGTTCCAATTAGTAGCTGTCTAATTAAATTAGTGTCACGCGGCCCAGCCAATGGGCCGGCGGGGGTGGAGGGCGGCGATGAGACAGCCCGGCGCAAGCCCCTCCCCGGCGGCCCGAGGAGCCCGGCGCGCCGGTATAAATCGCCTCGGCGGAGCCCTGCCGCAGCGCTGCGCTGCGCGGCCGCGGGTCGGGGTCGGC